GGGGAGAGATAGCAAGGGGAGAAATGCCAGATGTAGGTGATGGGGAGGAAGGCAGCAAATCACACTGCCACGTGTGTTCCTATGCAACAATTTTGCATGTTCTTCACATTTACCCCAAAACCTAAAATGCAATAAAATAAATAAATGGGGAAAAAAAAAAAGAAAATGAAACCCAACACATGAGAAGTTTTGGACCCAGCGAAAGCAGTGCTGTGAGGGCAGCTTATGGCCCAGGAACCAGGCTTCTCAGTGTTGCTTCTCACTGACCTTCGTCTGATCTGTGCAGTTAGGTCTGCTCATGTTCGCTGAGTTCCTCAGCACCTCACATTTGTGTTACTTCAGAAAGGCATTGTTTCCCACAGATTTGGCCTCTGAACCTTCCTCTGTCATCTCAGCCTCATCAGCTGCAGACTCCAGCAGCACCTCATGTTTTCCCATGCTTCCCATGTCCACTCAGTGGCCAGCATGGCTGGTGGCTTCCACCCAGCCGACCTCGTCTCTTCCTGTCCAAGCTGAGAAGCCCCGCCTGGCTCCTCGGCCCACCCGAGCTTATCTCGTGATTATTCCGCCTTTTCAATTTTATTCTTACAGTCCTGCTGATTCTTATTTTTTTTTTTTTTTAGGTTTCTTTTTGAGACAGGGTCTCGCTCTGTTGCCCAGGATAGAATGCAGTGGTGCGATCATAGCTTAATGCAGACTCAACCTCTGGGCTCAAGCGATCCTCCCACCTTAGCCCCCCAAGTAGCGGGACCACAGGCATGCGCTACTACACCCAAATAATTTTTAAGTTTTTTTTTGTTTTGTTTTGTTTTTTTTGTAGAGCTGGAGTATTGCCATGTTGACCAGGCTGGTATCGAACCCCTGGGCATAAGCCATCCTCCTGCCTTGGCCTTCCAAAGTTTTGGGATTACAGGTGTGAGCCACCATGTCTGGCTCCACTGATTATTTTCTAAACTGATATTCTTATGTTGTTTATGGTTTTTCCTTTGTCCAACCTCTTTTATGATGTTCTGCCACCTGTCAGATGGAGCTCATGCTCTTCACGTGGCGGCAAGGCCTCGGGTTCTAACCCTGCCCTCGTCTTTGGTTGTGTTCCCTGTTTGTGTTCTCCAATGTAATGTAGGCTTCTTGTCCACTCCAGAATTTGCCTGTCTTTCCTCTTACTTTGTCCCTCACCCCCAGACTTACCAGTCCAGGTGATGGGCTATGGCCATAAGAGTGACTCACAGAGGCTCATCTACTCAAAGGTGGAGGCTGCTTTTCTCTGTGTTTCTATTTCATCTTGGAGACCATCCTGCTTTGCCTTAATCACATGTGTTTCTGCAGAGGTCTCTGCAGGTTCTCCAAGGCAGGTCTTCACATTGCTGTCGCCTGGTGCCCATGATCAGTGCCTTCTGTGTAGGCTGTATGGTGTGGAGAGAAGCTTAGGAAAGAGTTGGGTCCTTGCTTCATGAGGCCTGCTTGGGGATCAGCTGCATGGCACGCTCCATCACTGTAGGGCCATGTGGTACAAATAAACTTGTGTATTTGGATATTTACTTATCATTTGACTTCATAAATAAATAAAATGACTGTTTCCACAGAGGATATAATCTATCAAAGAATATGTTAAGTTTTAGCCAGGCTTTTATCCAGAATAAACAGGATCAGTTTGTAAGGCAGTATGTTGGGAACCAGCCCAGCCCTCAACGTGGGTGCCCGTGCCCTGGCTGTGATGAGGGAGTGAGAAAAGAAATGAAGACAAAGACGCAAGAATAGCATTTGACAGCATGGGTCCAGGGGTCCAGTGCACTCTGTCAGGGTGATCTGAATTGGCATGGAGCTCTGGGCTCCAAGCGCTTTCATTAGGTGTATTGCAGGCTGTGAGGAGGGGGTTGAGGAGGAGGACAGCCAGAGGAAGAGCATGTGTCTGCAGCATTCAATAGCAAACATGGTTCTCCTAAGAAATGCTAAGGACACTGAGATTTCACCACCCATTGTCTATCCAGGTGTTTTGGCAAGAGAGGTACGGCGGACAAGGTGCCATAAGGTCTGACCACACACAGTGCATCAAGGGGCTCTTATCTCCCGAGCATTGTGGACACAGAGCAATCAGAATTGCTCCATATTCTGAGAACATAGGCAGAGCCTGTGGCGTTCCAGTGTCTCTGCCCTGTAAGGCCTTCTGGCTTTACCAGCTCCCATCTATGAAGACCCTTCCGAGTCTTATGAGCAGAGGTTGCATTTCCTTCCCAGAGTCTTTTGCATAAGCTCCCTTTACGAGATCCTCATACAAACTCTATGTTGGGAAGAGTTGTGGGACCAAAGCAGTTATTTTTTTCTGCTCTGCAATCATACCACAGTGTTCTGTGGTTATAGGGCACTCTCAGATGGGCTTTACCATAGGCCTCCTGTTACTGCTTGATCTCTGCTTTTATTCTACTACATCATAGTTTGGATATGATCTGTGGCACAAATCTCAGTGTATAAAAAGCAAAGCAAGCTTGTAATCATTTAACTATAAGTAACACAGGTCTGCCCCTGGCCATCTCTTCCCATAGCAGTACCTATATGAAGATATTTCATAAAACTTATCAAAGACTTTTATTATTTACTGAATACTTTTGTGGCATGAGGTGTCTTCAGGACCAGTGGAAGATATGAATATGAGTGAGATTTTCTGACTTCAGAAGCTTATTGATCATGGGAGAGTGAGAAGGCATTAATATTTGTTTTATAAAACAAAGTAGAAGCTACTGCATGTAGTTGATGGAGGTAAATGAAAAATTCCACTTTTTGGAGAAAGTGGGAATATGTGGTAGACAATTGGATGTTTAGAACAGAACTCAGAAGGAATTTTAGGGCTAGCAATACAGATTTGAGAGCTAAAGATACAGATTTTAGAATCATCTGTGTAGTGAAAAATGTTGAAGAATATTGGCAATATAAAATTTAAAGTAGGTTATTAAACATTAATAAATCAAAAAACATTTCTAGGGAGCTAGCTTACACAAAATCCTGATTTCATCATGCGGTCTATAAAATCTTTACTAAAGTTCCCCAGAAATTGTTTGAGATGGGCATTATTCACTTCTCGTTTTGCAGAGAAAACTTGAATCTGCAGAGTCAAATCAGTTGCCAGGGTTTGCTGTCTAGAAAATGTTGAAGTTGGGATCAGAACTCAGGGCAGCCTGTGTCTGTAGGCTGTGCTGATGTTGCAGAGAAGTAGCATGAATGAATGAAATAAATAAAAACAGACAAGGCTATTCGTTGGCAAAAATAGGAAGCTGTGCCCACTTGTGCACAAATGCCAGTCGTCAGGAGAAATACTGTGTCGTATGAGCAGCGATTTGTGAGGGTCTGGGATTGAACATTTTAGAAAGGACTGGGCTAAAGCTCCATTGAGCGCAGTGTCCTAATGTGGCTTCATGGCCAGCTGTGCCGTGTTTTTGCAACTTTTGTAATGTGTTTATTTTGTCAGTGATATTCCTCTCATAGTGTTTCTAGATGAATGTTTAACAAGAAACTTTGGGATATTTGGCCATGTACCAGAATTTTTTCTTATTTTGAATAGTGTTACTGTACTTGTATTTTGCTTTAATTGTTTATTTTCATTTCTTTCCTTTCTTAAGTCAACAGCTCTTTATACCACCTTTGATGAAGTAAGTAATTAAACTTGATGAAGTAAGTAATTAAACTTGTTTCAAGGTAACTTGAAACAAGCAGGACATTGTCTTCTTTTAAAATACAAATTAAAACAAAATGAAAGATCGGCCATAAATCATATGCTTACAGAAGAATGTCCATAGTAATATGAACCAAATAAAAGCTTATAATTGATATTTCAGGGTAATTTTGAGGCCCCATATTACTAATCTAGCTCCTAAAGCTATACAAAGTTCAAAGTTGGAAAGTACTAAGTAATCTAACATGATTAGCTATAATTATTTAGAGGCTTGCATTTTAGATTTAGGGGTACATCTTTTTTGTATGAGAAATATTCCCTAACTACTGTTATGAGTGTATAGTATATACTGATTCATTTAATCTGCATATTGGGGGTGTGAAGAGTAAAAATCACAGTTGAAAATGCCTTTTATCACCCATAAAGCATAGAGGCTTTTGTGCATGTAATCCTGGGTAGCATTCATGTGCACCTAAAGTGTGACAGCCTATAGGAATCCAAGGGAAGGGCCACCTGTAGGGATCTGGATATTCAGTTTTGCCTTTAAGACAACCATTAGATTCCTAAGTGAGTGTGTGGTGGGTAAGTTAAAAATGTGCCTACTTACTAGCAGAGCTTCTTCCATTAGGTGAATAATCTGCTGATATTTTAATATGTAAGACCTTTGGTAACAGGATTTGACTGGATAGTGCAGTCCAGTCTATAGAGAGTCAGGTCTGTGGGATTGATTGGGGTGGTTGGGCAAAGTCCATGGTGAGTTAAGAAGTGACTTAGGAAGTGACTGATGTATATAAAAACAACACACATGTATGCACACACATACACACATGAACACATACCTCCATGCCACATATACAAACAGGCATACACACCCCCACACCACATATGCAGACACATATACTACACACACACACACACACACACACACACACACAGTTGCATATAAACACACAAATGTACACAGCCCCACTCCACCTATGCACATATATATATATATATATATACACACCACACACATACACAGTCACATATACAAACAAACGTGTATATTCAATTAATATATTCTTAAAGACATTCTATTGGTTAAGAAAATATTTCCTGAACACCTGTTTGCTGTATTTTAAAGACTATCCTCATGCCATTTAATTTGCTTGGACCTTAGATAACAAGTTACGCTAAAAGTGCTATATCCATCAACTCTGAAAGTTCTCTGTGTTTATGTATGGGGACCAATTAATCAATGTATTTATTTTTGATATTTTAGATATTGGCAAAACACTTGAATGATGGTGAAATCAATCAGCTTCCTCTTTTCCTTGGAGAGCCTGCTATGGTAAGTATTAGGTATTTTCCAGGGTAATATTCTTTTATTTATGGATGTCATCAGCACTTCTCTAAAATGAAATTAATTTTGACTTCTGGTTTGCTCAAGAAAAATACTTCTGAACCATTCCTGTGCTGTCTCAGCTTCAACCACCAATCAGCTCGTGCTTCCCATGCTGTCACTTCAGCTGGGGTACTCTGCTTTATGCCATTATTTAAATGTCCTTTATAAAGGCCTGATGATTCAGCTACCCTATCCCTAAGCAAAATTTGAATTTGTTTTTTACATGTATTTGTGCCTTGTTAAATGCAACAGGCTGGGCGCAGTGACTCAGGCTTGTAATCCCAGCAATTTGGGAGGCCAAGGTGGGCAGATCACCTGAGGTCAGGAGTTTGAGATTAGAGCCTGGCCAATATAGTGAAACCACATCTCTACTAAAAATACAAAAAAATTAGCTGGGCATGGTGGCGTGTGCCTGTAGTACCAGCTATGTAGGAGGCTGAGGCAGGAGAATCACTTGAACCCAGGAGGCGGAAGTTGCAGTGAGCCCAGATCGCACCACTGCACTCCAGCCTGGGTAATAGAGCGAGACTCCATCTCAAAAAAAAAAACAACAAAAAAACCAACCAGTAGGGAGTAATAAGATTGAGTATTGGATGAAAAGAGAATCACTAATTGTTTAAAGCCATTTATCAACTTTTTTATATTTTATGAGGATATTTCAGTGACTAATTTGAACTGCAATAGGTATTTGTCATTTATTCCTTCAGATTGAGTCAGGTGACCTAGAACCATGCTCCTGTTCTGTGACTTTAGACTCTGTGCTCTGTGGGCATCCGTTTTTACCATCGAAAAATAAGACGATTGAACTAGTTTAATGTTCTTTCCACCTTGAGTCTCTGTGACTCTTCTGTCCATTGGCAATTTGCCTAGGGCAGCAGTTTTCTGACCTCTTTTCCCTACAACCTGTGGGAGAGGCCTTGGACTAGTGTCATAAGAAGCAACAGGCTTCGAAGGTGAAAGAGCAGATAAGAAAGTGCAGGGGCTGTGCTCACACAAGCAAGAGCCATGATTTCTTTTATTGCCTTGGAAAAGCTCACCTGCATATGTTCATACTCAGTTCCCTTCCTTGGAGGAGGGTGAAAACAAGCAAGACTGGAGTTTGGTAAGACTCCAGTACCACCCTCGCAGCTCTGTCTTCCCCACCGCCTCTCCGACTCCCTGGTCTGTCCTGTGGGTGCAGAACAGCTCTCTCCAGCAAGGCCCCACCCAGGGCTTCAAAGGGCTTGATGGATGTATTCTTCCCTTCTGTTCAGCAGCATAAGGCACAGCTCTCTGCTGCGGATACTAATAAAACATTTTCTCTGTTTATTTTCTGAAAGGAATTTCTCTGGGATTTCCTGAACCATCAGGAGGGTCCCCGCTTAAGAGATCATTTAAGCCACGGGGAGATCAACTTACACGAATTTTCAAAAGAAACAACTAATCAGTTGCTTGCATTTTCTGTTGTACTGTTACTCAAATTTGTTGATGAAGGTCTGCTATCAGTTTTTAAGGTAATTTATTGAGAAGAAAATCATTAATTAGATTAACTGTCATTCAGCTATGAAAAAATATGGTTTATTTTTGAAATGTAATGAACTATTAATCATCTTTTAATATATCTGAGTTACAGTATCCTCCATCAGAAAAAAAAAAGGGATTGGATTACATGTATGTTTATATTCTCTATCGCATATCAGTCAGTATTAATCTCAGCTAAAATTAACTCATTTCTTAAAAACACATTTGCTTTTGAATGTAACAGTAGCTAAGTATTGAAAACAAAAGAACAAATTATAAAACAGGATTAACCAAATATTAGGAAATTTTTACAGATTTTTGCCAAATTGATGGGGTAGGATATTTTTGCATCGTCAATAAACTAATTCTTCTATTTCAAAATAAATAATTTGTTAGAACATTTGTTATTGATATTTTAATATTTTCAGATAATACATATGATAGTTATTTTAAAAATTGTTTGAAAGTTCAAACAAAAATTAATAGAAACAGAAAAATTAATGTGAAAAGTAACAGCCCTCAGGAATTCCATCTCCCAGAAATAACTACTGGTTAATAATTAGGTGGCGTTGCTCCACATTTTTTCTATGAGTATACCAACGTGAGTTCATAGGAAGATACATTATGTTTTATAGCTACCGTTTCTCATTAACAGTGTGTTTTTGGCATCTTTGTTCTGCTTTATTCTTTTTGTCAGCTGTTTGTTATTTCATTTTATCAGTATGTTGTAATTTACTTATGCAATCCTTCACTGATGGATGAGTTGTAATATTCCCTGATGTGGAAAATTCCTAATTATGCTGCTTAAATGAACATCTTTGTTCGTTTGGGCACTTATGTAAATACTCTTAAAAAGTAAAATTCGAAGACAAAAGATATCAATACTTTTTTTTTTTAAATGAGACAGGATCTCACTGACGCTTAGGCTTCAGTGCAGTGGTACAGTCATGGCTCATGACAGCCTCAACCTCCTGGGCTCAAGCCATCCTCTTACCTCTGCCACCTGAGCAGCTGGGACCATAGACGCAAGCCACCATATCCAGCCAAGATTTTGTTTTTATTTTCATTTCTTTTTTTGTGTGTTTACTAGATGTTTATAATTCATTCATGAATTGCTATTACTGTGTTTTCTCCTTTTTTTTTCAGTTTTGTATTTCCCATTGGTTCACTAGCCTTATTTGTGTACATATTGCTTCGTTATTTGTCCATAGGTTTTGATTTTTTTTCTCTCTTTGGCTTCTACATTTGGAGTCATTCTGAAAAGAATCTTCACTTTTCAAAATTAAAAATATATGTATACATTGTCTCTAGTACTTCTGTTGTTTATTTTCCTTTTACATCAAAAGATGTAAAAGGAATTTATTTCATCTTGAGAGGTACAGAATCTAGCTTTACTTTAAAAAAAATTAATTGCCAGCAAGTTGTCTCAACACCATTTATTATTCTGTGTCAACCTGTACAAACACAAACAACAATGAGCACCTCGTGGATTGAGTTAGGGATAATTGACATTTTTCACAATGTTGAAGCTTATTCAGGGACTCAGTGTCTCCCCATCTTCATTCCTCAAGTCCTGAGCCTCCTGTCTACGTGGCATCTCCTGCCTCCCAGGTGGCTGCTCAGGCTGGAAGCCTCAGAGTCCCCTTCTCTGTTCATACTCGGACCTTGGAACAAGTCTTAGAAATATGTTCCACAGTCCAGGCGCGGTGACTCAGATCTGTAGTCCCAGCACTTTGGGAGGCCGAGGCAGGTGGAGTTCAAGACCAGCCTGGCCAACATGGTGAAACCCTGTCTCTAATAAAAATACAAAAATTAGCCAGATGTGGTGGCAGGCACCTATAGTCCCAGCTACTCGGGAGGCTGAAGCAGGAGAATTGCTTGAACCCAGGAGGTAGGTGTTGCAGTGAGCCGAGATTGTGCCACTGCACTACAGCCTGAATGACAGAGCAAGACTCAGTCTCAAAAAAAAAAAAAGAAAAAAAAAAATATGATCCACATCTGCTACTCCCTGTCCCTCCTGTGCCACCACCTGGCCATGCCGTCCTATCCCCTACCTGGAATGTCATTGGCACTGACTGGTCTGCCCACCAACTTCTGCGAGCCCTTCACCCTGTCATAACACAGCAGCCAGCATGATCCTTTTACAAATGTCATCCCTCTCCTCAGAAGCCCTTGGGTGGATTCACATCTTGGAACAGAAACCAGGTGCTCTTCAGTGGCATATGTACACTGCGTGTGTGTCTGCCCTGTGGGGGGACGTCACCCATGCAGATACACACATGTGCCTCCCGCATACTGCCCAGCACTCTCCTTGGTGCACTCCAGGTTCTCAGACATCTGAGTGAATGGAAGGCTAGCACATTTCTTCTGTATTTCATATCTAGCTACTTTAGTTGTTTGTTTTATGCTATTAAGAATTGTAGGTAGTTACAGATTTTTTACTTTGTCAACTATCAACTCACTGATTTTGTTTCCCATGGGGTTTAGTTGGCTGACGGATTTTTAAGTTATGTGGTTATATCAGCTGCAAATAATATAATGTTTATGCTTTCAAAAATATGTATATGCTTAGCAATTAAATGTTTATGTGATCTTTTTTAGTTGTATAGATTTTTAGTGTTCAAATGACTTTCCTAGTTAAATTTCCAATTCTTTGGGGTCTTTTTTTTTCTTATTCATTTCCAGTTTTGTGCACAGAGGGTGGGTGTGGCATTCGTGATCTACTATTGTTAATGGCCATCATTTAAAATCATTTTGTTGGCTGTGATTTTTCTGCCATGTCAAACCTATTTTAATGAAGCGTTTGCTTTTCTAGCTGCATAGAATTATTTGAAGAAAGATAATGAGAAATTGGGATTCTAAGTGGCCTGCAGTTCAATAGAAGAAAGCTAAAAACCTAACCAAATATTATAGTAACCACCATTTTCTCTGAACTAGGAAAAAGCAGTAGTGGAATTGTTGATTCATCTTGCAGAAGGCTATAGTTCTCGTTGCCATCCGGTTTCTCAGCTTAAAAAACAGGTATGCCGAATGCAGGGTGCTGGGAGGGGTGTACATGTTTCTGACACCAGCTGTCTCTTGCAGAGATGTTCGGAGGGTGCAGTTTGCCTGCTGACTCAGACTTTGAGTTGGGCAGATCCAGCTTTCTAACCAGCGTGGTGCCTGCTGTGTCCTGACCTGGTTGCTCAGTCCTCAGAGGCTCAAGTTCCATGTCTAGAAGTTGCAAGTAATGCAGTGCTGACTGCACTTAGTGTTTTTAGTGTTACATGCATGAGCACTGGGAAGTGTTTTTGCTGAGTCTCCTGGCAGGCTGTTAACTGCTGTCACCAGTAACACAGAGCTAGGAGCAGTTTTTATTTGTCAGTGGTGAGTAACGTCAGTTTTTCTGCTACACAAGACTAGCTTTTGTTAACTTACTGAAACAACAATTTTTTAAGCATTTCTGCCAGAAGTTTCCAATTTGGAAGTCAGCTGAGGTGCTTTATTCTATATACAGGAGGACATGAGGGCAGTGCGAAGGAATGAAAAAAGAGGTAGTCCCCAGAATATACGCATCATGACAGTCACGCAGGTGAACATTCATAAATGAGATTATTTCTGAAAGGAAGCTATAAAATCAACACATGGCGCCAGGAGAGATTTGCAAAGGCACTTTAAGGAAACGGTGCCTTGAGAAGTCTGAGGCCTCCTTGAGAATGCCTTAAGGAAAGTACTGTCAGCAGTGAAGTCGGGAAAGCAGCCTCCTGGAGGTGTGGGCCTGGAGGCAGAGCATGGGTCTGTGCTGGTTGGATGCCATTCCCTGTTCATGCTGCGGACCCTTTACCAGGGGGATATCATGCTTTCCAAGAACAAGCCCTTACGAAGGTAGAGGTAGACAGGTGGGGAGGAGGGAAGACATAGGAAGGAAGAGGAGCTTCGGGAAGGCATGCTTTGTCTTCCAACCAGAGGTGCCGAGGTGCCAGGCCATCCTCTCCCGTGCCCCACGGTGGCTGTTTTGGGTCCTTACCATTCGCTGTCCCCCTCCTGGCATCTCACTGGTATTCAGGCAGCTTTGCATCCTGGGCTTTGGTTACTCCTGCTGTTGAGACCACCCATGCTCAGTGGTGTCAACAGCCACCATTTGACTTGCTCATACTCTAGTGGGTTAGAAATGGGGGAGCATCTGCCAAGGGATCTGCCTTGTGGCCTTGCCTGGGTGTTGACAGCTGTGGTTCCCTCAGGGCTTTGTGGGGGTCCCATCTGAGAAGGCTGGAAGTTGGCCAGAGGCCTCATGGGGTACCTGCAGGGACATTCCCAAGGTGACAGCTGCTGCACCCTAAGTGTGGCCTGAACTGGAGAGGCACCTGCACCTCTGACATGGCTTTGGATGCCATGCAGCACCTTCACATCTGCTGTGTTCTGTTGGTTACAAGCCAGTTGCTGGGGCTGGTGCAGATTTGGTGGGGACTTCCCTCTCAATGTGAGGTGTCAAAAGAGCCTGTGGACATGGTGGTCACAGCCACCCCAGATGTTTACTCCCTACCATTCCCCTGGTAGTCTCCCCAGCCTCTGAACGTATTGAAGAACTGACACCCACCATCTAGTTTTTACAATGTTTAGAATTTGTCACAATTTTATAGATAGGTATTTTCTAGAGAGGAATGTAACATCCCTAACAATCTAAAAACATCGATTTTCTAGGAAGTTATTGTGAAATCTATAAAAGCAATATAACGTTTCCTCCCAGGTGCTGAGCTGTGAGGAAAGCATCAGGGTTTGGGCTCTGTTGCCTTTCCCCGAAGAACTCACTCAGGAAGCTGTCAGGTGCGTGTCGTCCTGAGGCCTGGCTGACCTTGAGCTTGTCTGTTACTGTTAATTTCAGCAGCATTTCTCCTTTAATGAGGCTGCTGTTAGATAAAGGGGGAAGGAGGAATTTCTGGGCATTGGTGGCTGGTGCAGACTGTGAGGAGCTGGAAGTGATGCTGAATGTGATTTCCTAGCTGGCATGGGGCCCTGGTGGAGACTGAACATGGAACGAGAAGCAGATTTGTGAGTGGACAATGGTGCCCACGAGAAATACAGAGTAGATAGTAAAAAAGATGGGTCTGAAGCTCAAGAGAGAAGTGGGGATGGAGACGTAAATTTTGGAGTCGTACACTACAGTGGACATACTTGCTCAGCAGGAATAATACTCCGCTGATTCATTGTCTTTCGTCATCAGCGTATTTTGCTTTTGGCATTGGCGTCGTTTGTTTCTCCACTGTCTTGTCCTGGTGGCTTTTTCCATTTTATATTTGAGGAGACTAAGAGTCACATTAAGGTTGCTGCTCAGTGAACCATTAAACATTATTATGCATAGGCGCTAATATGGGCATTTTAATTATTGTCACATATCTTTAAATATTTTCTTTTTCAGATTAGAAGATAATTCTGAAACAAATGCCTGCCACTCTTTAATTACAAAAATTATGGATGAACTGTATCACCATATGCCTGAGAATCATTGTGTTTTAAAGGACTTGGATAGTCTTCCTACTGAGATGTGAGTTCCAGAACATCCTGACAACTGTTGAAACATTGATTCAGCCAATTAGCATAGCAAACTTAGCCATTATCGATGTTTTAGATTTTATAAACTTGGTAGTCTTAGAATCCCACTGTTACTGCTCCAAGAGGAATGATGAGATAAGCTTTGACAGTCACGGTGCAAGCTTGGCACATCTGATGAAGCTGTGAATGCCACATTCTGTTCACCACAATTCAGTATATTTAGTTAACACTTGCCACATGTCACGGTTGCCCTTGCAGACCAGTCAGCAATACTCAGCTAGCCCTGGCTCCCAGAAGGTTGCAGCCTTGCAAGTGCAGGTGCAGAGGAGAGTGAGGCGCAACTGAGGATCACGATGCCTGTTGCAAGTCTCGCTCTGTTTGCAGGTGGCCCAGCTCACAGCTGCTCTGTGAGCTCTGCAACACACCCGTCCCCACACTATTCTGCCCCAGGATTGTGCTGGAAGTGCTGGTTGTGCTCCGAAGCATCAGCAAACAGTGCCACCACGTGTCCAGCCAGGTCACTGCCGCCTCAGAACTGAGACACACACAGTGGGTGGAAAGGACTCTGCGGTCTCGCCAGCGGCTGAACTACCTGCGCATGCGGAGTAGGTGCGCGCTCGCTTTCCTGTTTGGGAGGGGCACTGTGGGGCAGGAAGCTGTCACAGATGCAGTTCAGTCCCCACTTTCAGACACACATAGTAGGCCCTCACTGAACCTCATCAACAGGTGTTGATATACTTGGAGTTCACAACTGATAGTGTGAACCCAAAGTATCCGAGACAGCTCTCAATCCATTTAGAAAGTTAACTTTCCCAAGGTTAAGGACAGGCTGTGACAGCCTCAGGCAGTGCTGATGGCATGTGCCTCAGGGAATTTGGGACACAGCTTGCTTTTACACATTTTAGAGAGACATAAAACATCAATCAGTAGGTGTAAAGTGTATATTGGTTTCATCTGGAAAGGTGGGAAACTCAAAGGTGGGTAGACAAGAGACAAATGATTGTATTACTTTGAGTCTAAGAGACAAAGAATTGCATTATTTTGACTCTTTGATTGCCTTTCAGTGAATATAATTTACTGGTGAGGTGGGTAGAGGAATAGTCACACCATAGTGTGGCTCAGTGAAGCTGCATTTTCCATAAACATAGGGCAGAAGAAGCAATCATATATGCATTTGTCTCAGTTGAGCAGAGGGATGACTTTCTGTCCCACACCTGTGAAGATAAACTAGCAATTACATTACCGGAGTGCAATTCAGCAGAACCCTTAGAGTAAAGATGTTGAGGCCCAGGAGGAATTTCCTTGTGGACAAACTGTGAGGGAGGTCTGTAACTTTTTTATCTTTGTAGCCATCTTATTTAGGAATAAAACCGGAGGCAGGTTTCTTGAGGCAGTTCCCAGCTTAACTTTTCTTTAGTTAAGCTTTTCCTTAGCTTGACTTGGCTTAGTGAGTTTGGAGTCCTGAAATTTATTTTCCTGTCACAATGGAAACAAAAGTTCCCACAGCCTGTTTCTGGTCGCAAAAATATTACCAAGCTTCTATATAAGGACCCAAGACACTTATAATATTAAACACTGAGATACATATGAGCTCTTTGGACATTTAAGAAAGATGAATAAAAACAAGTGAAATAACTACTCAGTTTTTGGTGAGGCAGTGAGTGATGGCAGTCCAGGTGGTAGTTGAATCGGGGAACAAATGTTTGCGGAGTGAGACCTCCCCAGGCCTGTGCCCCTTCCAGTTTCTTTTCTCACCGATGTGACAAAACAAAGCTGAATGAAATGTTATTTGAGGATTTGCTGGGCTGATTTTCATAGAAAGTGATAGTGTATACAATTTTAAATATTGTTTGTAATTTGGGCATGTGGAAATGTGGGTTCTATCTACCCAAATGAATATTTGGATTTAAAATATAACAGCAGATTAACTTCCGTATAACCAGCATTATGGTTTCTTCACTTATAGTGTATATTTTAGAATGTGCCACATCCTTAAGAAATGACCATTTTGGACACTTTTCTAGAATTTTTGGGTTGAGTGTATCTGTGGTTTTTAAAGTTTTAAATAGATTCCCCTCCAGAAAAGTGCTTCTCAATTTACACTCTTACTAGCAGTTTATAAGACAAGATCATTCTCTTGTTACCACTCTCCAAAACCAGAATATTTTAAAATGTATCAGCTAGTTTCATGGGAAAAATAAGATCTTACTTTAATTGGAGTTTCTTTAATCTGGTGGCATTCAGCCAGCTTTCATATTGAAGCCATTTGTTTTTCTCTGGTGAGAGTTCCTTTCTGGATGTCAGAGGGCAGGGAGCATGGGGGCGGCTGGGCACAGATTGGGCCTGCCTGGTGCCCCGTGAGCGTGCAGAGCCCCCAGCAGCCCTTCAGATGATGACTGATAGCAAGTAATGTGGACGTGCAGGGCGGCCGGGAGCAAGGGCTATACTGGGCGTTCCCTCTTGCCACGAACCTGGGGGCTGGAAACAGGCATTGGGCTCTAAGGATTAGGAAAATTACTATTTGAGAAGTTGAAGAGGTGTTGATTAGGTGAAACATCTTTTTCCTGACGAAGGTGGAAAACAACCAGTGTTCCTCAAATTTTAATTTACTTTTATCTGTTTTTAGTATCAGACTTCTGTCCCCTGTGCTCAGCCTGGTTCTGTTACTCATTGTGCTGGAATTGGTCAACATTCATGCTGTTTGTGGAAAGAATACGCAGGAGTATCAGCAGTACCTAAAGTAAGTATGTCACACTTCTCTGCAGTAACAGTGTGTCGTGGGGCAGATTGGGAGTGAGCCTGTAGGAGTGAGATTGGGGCAGCGTGAGAGCCCCCATCTCCTTGGTGGCACCACCGCCGTATCAGGCAAGGGTCTGACATCTGGACTGCAAGGAAAATTTCTACCTCCAAATGGCTGAAAACCAATTTTTTTTTTTTTTTTTTTTTTTTTTTTTTTTTTTTCCCAGAGACAGGGTCTTGTTTTGTTGCCCAGACTGGAGTGCAATGGCATAATCATGGCTCACTGCAGCCTCAACCTCCCAGGCTCAAGTGATCCTCCCACCTCAGCCTCCTGAGTAGCTGGCACCACAGCTGTGCCACCATACCTGGCTAATTTTTAATTTTTTTTGTAGAGATGAGGTCTTACTATGTTGACCTCCAGTGATCCTCCCACCTTCACCTTCCAGAGTGCTGGGATTACAAATGTAAAAGCCACAGCACCAGGCCAAAAACCAAATTTGGGTATGTAACTAATAGTTTAAAATTTGGGAAGTTCACTTTTTAGGACCATTCCGATCTAGGAGTCGAAGTGGTGTGACAGTTGTGTGATCCACTTGACATCCAGAGATTCCAAACTGAGGTGGCTTCCAGGTGGAGGTCCCAAAAGTGGTCATCTGGACTTGGGTGCAGCTACAGCTCCAGCCTCCCTCAGCTGCCAGGAGGTTCTGAGTATCTTGGTTTTAAGCCAATGTTTTGCAGGTGCCAGGCAGCTCAATACATGTTTAAATGAATGTGAAAATAAAACTGGGGTATCTTATGGAAAGAAGCATAGGCCCCTGCTGACATACAGCCTGTTACGGCACAGCTCAGTGTTAGGGGACTCCAGCTCAGTGTGCTCCATGCTGGGCACTGCTGGCATTGTGGACTGGTGCAGGGACTGCCCTGCTCATAGTAGGACACGCAGCAGCAGGCCTGCCTCTACCCATGAAGTACCAGTCATGTAGAGTCGTGTCCCACCCTCCATGTGACAGTCAGAAGTGGCCTAGACATTGCCAGATATCCCCTGCAGGTCAGAATACCCCAGTAGCGAACGCTCTTCTAGACAAAGTGGCTTTTCATCATATTATTCTTTTAGCTTCTCTTTAAGTTTGGGTATTTTCAAGATAAAATGTTGGTGAAAACTACCTGGCAAATGTGGAAAAAGTAAAGATGACATTTATCAGTCAGAGCCACCCTGCTGTTAACATTCTGACAAATAATCTTGAAGAAAATTTCTTTAACAGCAACAACTGTCTTAGTGGCATGTGTCTCCTCTGAGCTTACCCCTCCATCACGAAGGACGGAAGCTGGACATGTGAGGAGGGAGAGGGCCAATTGTTCACGCTGGACTTGAGTATGCTTGGATTTTGGTATCCACTGGATGACTGTGTATTGTGTGTTTATTCTGTGTTGTGTGTTTAGGATGTGTTGTGCATTTAGTCTGTGTTGTGTGTCAGTTTGGTGCAGATGACCCCTAAGTTCCTTCCTGGAATTACAGCCATCATGTCCGAGCTGGAGAAAGAATGTTTGAGAACGTGTTTGCGTGGGAACCTGTGCAGGTGTCCAGCAGCGTTTACATTTCAGCATTTTTCTCTTTCCTCTAATTTGTATTCTCTTATTTTTGTTTTATATGGATTTATTTTTCTTGAATCCTCAGACATAAATTAAGTGCAGTTTACTTTAGGAATAACTGCAAGAATTAAGAGAAAATATTTAATTCATTGTTTCATTTTGTAATGGAGTAGATAAAACAATTTTTTCTTACAGGTTTGTAAAGTCGATCTTGCAATACACAGAGAACCTGGTGGCTTACACCAGCTGCGAAAAGAACAAGTGGAATGAAGCTATCCATCTTACACATACAGCTTTGGTGAAAATTTGGACTTTTAGTGAAAAGAAACAAATGTTGATACATTTAGCCAAGAAATCCACAAGTAAAGTCCTCTTATGAAAACACTTACAAGTCAGGATGTGTTTAATTTTAACAGATTTTAATAGCGTGTAAATTGAAAACCCAGAGCTAGGGTGGACTTCAGGGTCTGCTTGACCAGGCTTCAGGTTCTGTTTCTCAGCAGCACCCTGATTTGCCCTTTCCGAGTGATCGGTGTGAGTCTCAGTCTGGCTGCTTTTGTGGTGACCAAATGGCTGCTGTACAGGTATTGATCGACTTACGACCTATGCAACTTACGACCATTTGACTTTACGACCACAATCGCTAGCCACGACTGCTCCGCGTCTGGCAGCGCAAATGTTGCCCAGTTGGGCATACGACAGTGGGGGCCAGCTTCCGGCAGCACTACCATCTCTGCTTGCACCATTTCAACTGTACATATAGCCTACTCAGCTTACAACCAAATCGTGTTACGACCGGTCTGCTGGTCCCAATCATGGTCGTAAGTCGAGCACTAGCTGTAATTTTTGGTTCCATCTCTGCATAATACCCGTCCAGAGGAAGGAGGAGGAGCTGCTTTCACCCAACTGTTACTCAGAAATGCACGGCTCCCCTGTTACTGGCCACGTATCTACTCTTGAGAATTATTGTGGCTGGGACCCTCCCCTGCATTCCCTGGCCAGGCCTCAGGAGACATAGACTCCTGGACCAGCCATCAGGGCAGGGAGGGTGAGGCCCTGGGTCTGAGGAGAGGACTGATAAAATTTAAAGTTCCCAGGTCAGTGCTGGAGACCAACTCCTGAAAGGGGAGGTGGGCAGGCAGGGGTGTTGGCCAGTGTTTGGCAAAAAAAGCAGAAGCCCTTCCCTGTTTTTAGAGGTGGGAGTTTCAGTGCATGGTCTGGGAGAGCTGGGGGAAAGGAGATCAGGGAAGCTGCCATTCACAGGCTCTGCTTGAAGAACCCAAATGTCTCACTCGAGGGTTTCTGCAGCCACTGCAACTCTTGAGAGCGCCTGGGAGTTCCTGCTGTCTGAGTTGGCAGCTGCAGAGCTGGGGCTCTGAAGAAGCCCCTGGATGGCTGTCCTGACCTCATGTCTGCTTGGGCATGGGCCACCCCACCCTCCATGAGTCACTGCTTCTCTTTTTCCACCTTCCAAACCTTAACAGTGTGCAGCTAGCAGCCATCTAAAGATGTACGTTCTGTGGCTGCTTCTGCTGAGGAGACCTGGGGGCCGCATGGGGCGGCAGAGCTGAGCACGTGCTGTCTGTCCCTCTGCCAGCTCAGCTCTAGCCCTTTTTTTCTTTTTTAATTTTATTGCATTTTAGGTTTTGGGGTACATGTGAAGAACATGCAAGATTGTTGCATAGGCACACACGTGGCAGTGTGATCTGCTGCCTTCCTCCCCATCACCCACATCTAGCACTTCTCCCCATGCTATCTGTCCCCAACTCCCCTCCCCCGCTGTCCCTCCCCTATTTCCTCCCAAAAGACCCCAGTGTGTAGTGCTTCCCTCCCTGTGTCCATGTGTTCTCATTGTTCAACACCCTCCTATGAGTGAGAACATGCGGTGTTTGATCTTCTGCTCTTGTGTCAGTTTGCTGAGAATGATGGTTTCCAGGTTCATCCATGTCCCTGCAAAGGACACGAACTCATCGTTTTTGATGGCTGCATAATATTCCATGGTGTATATGTGCCACATTTTCCCTGTCCAGTCTATCATCGATGGGCATTTGGGTTGTTTCCAGGTCTTTGCTATTGTAAACAGTGCTGCAATGAACATTCGTGTGTACGTGTCCTTATAGTAGAACGATTTATAATCCTTTGGCTATATACCCAGTAATGGGATTGCTGGGTCAAATGGAATTTCTATTTCTAGGTCCTTGAGGAATCGCCACACTCTCTTCCACAATGGTTGAACTAATTTACACTCCCACCAACAGTGTAAAAATGTTCCTATTTCTCCAAATCCTCTCTAGCATCTGTTGTCTCTAGATTTTTTAATGATCGCCATTCTAACTGGCGTGAGATGGTGTCTCAATGTAGTTTTGATTTGCATTTCTCTGATGACCAGTGATGATGAGCATTTTTTCATGTTTGTTGGCCTCATGTATGTCTTCCTTTGTAAAGTATCTGTTCATATCCTTTGCCCACTTTTGAATGGGCTTGTTTGTTTTTTTCTTGTAAATCTGTTTTAGTTCTTTGTAAATTCTGGATATCAGCCCTTTGTCAGATGGGTAAACTGCAAAAATTTTTTCCCATTCTATTGGCTGCCGATTCACTCTAATGAGTGTTTCTTTTGCTGTGCAGAAGCTGTGGAGTCTGATTAGGTCCCATTTGTCTATTTTGGCTTTTGTTGTCAATGTTTTTAGTGTTTTGGTCATGAAGTCCTTGCCTACACCTATGTCCTGAATGCTTTTGCCTAGATTTTCTTCTAGGGTTTTTATGGTGTTAGTTCTTATGTTTAAGTCTTTAATCCATCTGGAGTTAATTTTAGTGTAAAGTGTCAGGAAGGGGTCCAGTTTCTGCTTTCTGCACATGGCTAGCGAGTTTTCCCAACACCATTTATTAAACAGGGAATCCTTTCCCCATTGCTTGTTTTTGTCAGGTTTGTCAAAGATCAGATGGTTGTAGATATGTTGTGTTGCCTCCGAGGCATCTGTTATGTTCCATTGGTATACATCTCTGTTTTGGTACCAGTACCATGCTGTTTTGATTACTGTAGCATTGTAGTATAGTTTGAAGTCTGGTAGTGTGATGCCTCCCGCCTTGTTCTTTTTGCTTAGAATTGACTTGGCTATGCTGGCTCTCTTTTGGTTCCATATGAAGTTTAAGGTGTTTTTTCCCAGTTCTGTGAAGAAGGTCATTGGTAGCTTGATGGGGATAGCTTTGAATCTGTAAATTACTTTGGGCAGTATGGCCATTTTCACAATATCGATTCTTCCTAACCAGGAATATGGAATGTTTTTCCATCTGTTTGTGTCCTCTCGTATTTCGTTGAGCAGTGGCTTGTAGTTCTCCTTGAAGAGGTCCTTTACGTTCCTTGTTAGTTGTATTCCTAGGTGTTTTATTCTCTTTGTGGCAATTGTGAATGGCAGTTCATTCTTGATTTGGCTCTGTTTAAGTCTGTTATTGGTGTACAGGAATGCTTGTGATTTTTGCACATTGATTTTGTATGCTGAGACTTTGCTGAAGTAGCTTATCAGTTTCAGGAGATTTTTGGGCTGAGATGGTGGGGTCTTCTAGATATACAATCATGTTGTCTGCAAATAGAGACAATTTGACTTCCTCCTTTCCTATTTGAATACCCTTTATTTCTTTTTCTTGCCTGATTGCTCTGGCTAGAACTTCCAGTACTATATTGAATAGGAATGATGAAAGAGGGCATCCTTGTCTAGTGCCAGATTTCAAATGGAATGCTTCCAGTTTTTGCCCATTCAGTATGATATTGGCTGTTGGTTTGTCATAAATAGCTTTTATTATTTTGAGATACGTTCCGTCAGTACCTAGCTTATTGAGGATTTTTATCATAAAGGGCTGTTGAATTTTGTCAAAGGCCTTCTCCGCATCAATTGAGATAATCATGTGGTTTTTGTCTTTGGTTCTGTTTATGTGGTGAATTACGTTTATAGACTTGCGTATGTTGAACCAGCCTTGCATCCCCGGGATGAAGCCTACTTGATCATGGTGGATTAGCTTTTTTGATGTGCTGTTGCAATCAACTTGCCAGTATTTTATTGAAGATTTTTGCATCTGTGTTCATCATGGATATTGGCCTGATGTTTTCTTTTCTTGTTGCATCTCTGCCGGGTTTTGGTATCAGGATGATTTTGGTCTCATGAAATGATTTGGGAAGGATTCCCTCTTTTTGGATTGTTTGCAATAGTTTCAGAAGGAATGGTACCAGCTCCTCTTTGCATGTCTGGTAGAATTCCGCTGTGAACCCGTCTGGACCTGGGCTTTTTTTGGGTGGTAGGCTCTTCATTGCTGCCTCAAATTCAGACCTTGTTATGGGTCTGTTCAGGGTTTCGGCTTCTGCCTGGTTTGGGCTTGGGAGGAGCAAGTGTCCAGGAATTTATCCATTTCTTCCAGGTTTACTAGCTTATGTGCATAGAGTTGTTTGTAATAGTCTCTGATGATGGTTTGAATTTCTGTGGAATCTGTGGTGATATCCCCTTTATCGTTTTTTATTGCATCAATTTGGTTATTCTCTCTTTTCTTTTTTATTAATCTTGCTAGTGGTCGACCTTGTTGATCTTTTCGAAAAACCAGCTCCTGGATTTATTGATTTTTTGAAGGGTTTTTTTATGTCTCTATCTCCTTCAGTTCTGCTCTGATCTTAGCTATTTCTTGTCTTCTGCTAGGTTTTGAGTTTTTTTTATCTTGCTTCTCTAGCTCTTTCAATTTTGACGATAGGGTGTCAATTTTTGATCTCTCCTTGCTTCTCATGTGGGCACTTATTGCTATATATTTTCCTCTAGAGACTGCTTTAAATGTGTCCCAGAGATTCTGGTATGTTGTGTCTTATTTCTCGTTGGTTTCGAAGAACATCTTTATTTCTGCCTTCATTTCATTCTTTATCCAGTCAACATTCAAGAGCCAGTTGTTCAGTTTCCATGAAGCTGTGCGGTTCTGAGTTAGTTTTTGAATTCTGAGTTCTAACTTGATTGTACTGTGGTCTGAGAGACTGTTTGTTATGATTTCCATTCTTTTACATTTGCTCAGGAGTGATTTACTCCCTATGATGTGGTCAGTTTTGGAGTAGGTGTGATGTGGTGCTGAGAAGAATGTATATTCTGAGGATTTGGGGTGGAGAGTTCTGTAAATGTCTATTAGGTTAGCTTGGTCCAGGTCTGAGTTCAAGTACTGGATATCCTTCTTAATTTTCTGTCTGGTTGATCTGTCTAATATTGACAATGGGGTGTTAAAGTCTCCCACTATAATTGTGTGGGAGTCTAAGTCTCTTTGTAAATCATTAAGAACTTGCCTTATGTTTCTGGGTGCTCCTGTATTGGGTGCATATATATTTAGGATCATTAGCTCTTCTTGTTGCATTGATCCATTTACC